AATTATTTTTTCAAATTGAAGAAAATTCTTTTAAAAATTCATTATTTATCGAAAACAGTTTTTTTCTGAAGAAAATCGCTCCACATAAAAGCAATTAAAAATTTGTTCGAATTATTTAATTATAAAAAGCAATTAAAAATTTGTTCGAATTATTTAATTATAAAATTATAGCTGAGTTTTTTATTGCTGTTTTTATTTTACGATTCAGAGCAGATTTTCTGTAACTGGTGGCCATGTTTGAACAAGAACTATCGATGATTTAAATAATCCATGGATCTATAATTAATATGGACATAAAGCTTTACAAAAGTGATTTTTCTAAAATATAACTAATATAAAAACATAAAAAAACTAATATAAAATACATAATAATAATAAAATAATAATAATGATAAATAATATAATATATATTATAATATATATCATATATATATCATATATGTATATTAAAATATATAATATATATATATATATATAAATATATATAATATATAAAACGCATATAATACAAATATATATAATACAAATACATAATAATAATAATAATAATAATAATAATAATAATAATAATAATAAGTAAAACTAACATAAATATAACTAATATAAATATAAAGTTTTGCAAAAGCGATTTTTCTAAAATTCATAAAAAGAAATAAGTTGTGGATAACAGATATAAAATAAAAAATACCAAGATTTTCTAAAACAAGAACATTTCTAAAAGAATTTAATTTACCTCGGAATAAGTCCTGAAGGTTTCAATAAAATCAGACAACTTATTTTTTCAATTTTTATTCTATTTATTTTTTTAATTGGAGTACAGCCACTAAGACGCAAGGGGTTACAGGACGTAGAGGATTAGGAAGAGAAACATTACTAACGAGGAGAAAGAAAACATAGCAATCAGGAGGACAGTCGATGGCAATTGACCTTGCATATAAATTTTGGCATTATTAAAGTTGGCTGTAAAACAAGGAGCCGGTTGGGAGTTCCACAAGCGAGAAGTGCGAGATAAGAAACTGTTAGTATCGAAGTTACGATTGCATCTAGCTAGCTCAAATATAAATTAATGAGATCTTGCCGCTAGATTAGAAATGCAATTAAATTCATACAGTCTAAGTACAATAGCGAAGAACTCATTCGAACAATTACCATTAAAGTATTTATAAAAAAAAAAAGGACAGAGATGTAATCTTAAGTGGGTGGGCAAGTGATTGAAGTCGAGCTGCCAGATCAGGACCAATAATATTGCTGATTCTTCTTTAAATCTTATCAAGGTGCTCCAGATAAATAGCAGGGGTACCAGACCATATATAGAATTAATAATATCGATGTGTTTTTCATCGTAAAAAGACGCTAAATAATAATAATAATAATTTAGTTTCACCCGTTATTGCAAGAAGAGCAAAATTCTTAACTAAAATTTTGAAGGTTCTAAAAATTATTATAAAATATAATGTAATAATCAAAAAATGCTTTGATCTTCCCTCTTAATAATAACATAAAGATTTTGAAGATGAAAGATTACTTAACTTTAAATATCTTTTTTTGTTGTTGTTTTCCCCGACTTTGAATTTTCTTGGTAATCCATTCTTCAAGGCGTTCTATTTTTTAAATGATACTTCTAATTTTTTTCAATCTAATCCGCGTTTTTTTCACTCCGTTTTCTAAACGTGCGCATTCATGAACTTAGCTTTCCTTTACACGCAAACGTTCATAATTTTTGCTTTTCTTTACATCGTCGATTGTAAGTGTAATTATTTTAGATGTAGATTTTTCTTCCAGTTGTAAATTTTTCTTCCAAATTAAATTACATTTTTCTTGCAAATTACGACCTTGAATAAGTTCTCGTTGTTTTCCAACAGATGGCGTTCCCAGAACTACGTGTAGTTTCACGAGATAACGCATCTGTAAGGAAGTACTATATGCACGCTTGAAATTCCGTGTATATCATTTCGCCGAAGTGTAAACAACTTTGTTTTTCATAGCGTTAAGCATGTCGAATTTCGTGACAAAGAAAGAGAATTTGCGGGGAATTTTACTGCACTACTTTATTCAAAAGAAATCTGCCGCTGAAGTACACAAAGTTCTTGTTGAGATTTACGACGACCATGCTCTATCGGAAACAGCATGCAGAGATTGGTTTAGACGCTTCAAAAATAATGCTGAAGATAAAGAACTCCCTGCCGCCCCGAAAAATTTTGCAGACAAAGAATTGGAGGCGTTACTTCATAAAGACTCGTGTCAGGTACAATCTGAACTTACAGAATAAATAGAAATTGAACACGAAAAAGTTTCGTAGGAATGATTCAAAAACAAGGACATTGGATGCCGTATTATTTGAAGCCGAGTGACGTCAAACGGCGTCTTGTTACGTGAGAACATCTGCTTCAACGGCAGAAAAGGAATGGTATTTTGCATCGTATCGTGACCGGCGATGAAAAGTGGATACAATACAATAACACTTGGTGAAGACCGTGTGATAAGCCCGGCCATGCATCGGCGGCAAAGCCGAATATCCATGATTCGAAGCTTCTGCTCTGCAGTTGGTGGGATCATCTGAGTGAATTTTATTATGAGCTGCTCAAACCGACCTAAACCA